ACAAAACACGAGCAAAAAAAAAAAAGAAACAAGCCAGAAATATCGTTTAATGAATTTTATTCAGGACAGAATGTGTCGGGTACAAGAAAGGATTAGTCTTGCCAAGGCGTCCAAATGCCTTCCTCCAATGCTTTTATAAGAGCTTTAGGGTCTTTAGTTTTGGTGGGTGGAGGCACGACCCCCTTCATGTAATCCTGCACTCGTTCTTTCATTTCCTTTACCACGTCTGGAAGTTTCTCGCTGAGGTCGTCGTGTTCCGTTGGGTCAGCGGTTATGTTGTACAGTGCAACTTGCAGAGTTCCCCCTGTGGTCTGATGAATAAATCGAACTTTTTCCCTGAACTGACAAATTAATTAATTTCATTGATAGTTTCTGAAGTAAGAGTAGCTCTGGGTCTGCTAGTATGTGTTACAACAAAACTTGATGTTGAAGGCCAATTGTCTTGCTAATTATCCCTAATTAGGGTAAATATTGTAATTAACATTTTGGTTTACTTCCTTATAGACTGTCATGGCTTGTTGTTTCGGGTAAGCGTAACTGGACCTGTAATATTCTATAAGCTTTAAAATTTCGTTAAAATCCTAGCCTGAAATTCATCCGATTGCTTCTAGTCGCTTTTTCTCCTCTCTAAGGGAGTAATAACGACTCGAAGTAATCGGATGAAATTCAGGCTACTAAAATCCCGGTTAAGAAACGATATATATATTTCGAGTCAACGGGCCATCAGGCCAGGCGTCATGTTTGAATTTCTGGCCCTGATTGTAAAACATTCGATAGCGCTACCCACCGGATAAATCACTTTACAGCAGATAAGTGTACCGGATACCAATTGCGCTATTCAGGGGATACAGATTTGTCCTTTGTCCCGTGGATAGAATTATCCACCTTTTGGGGACTGTATATCTGTATATAGCCGAGTTGATTCACTGATTAAGCCGTTACGGTGATGCATCTGATACAATTATAATAGTGTCAATCATTTTACTTTTTTTTCTCTTCCACTCATCTTCTTTCTTTTGTCAGTCTAAATCGACTTACATGTATTAGAAGGATACGGCGGGGTCTAAGCCGCCTGACGTACAGGAAGATATCTTTACTACTAAATACCTTTGCTCCATCTTGAAACCAGCCGAGCCTGTCGTTTTTATCAAAGGGTGTGTATTGCCTCATACTTGAATCTCCACCGAGCTCCGGGGGTTTATACCATGAGGCATTAGGAACACTCAAAAGAAGTTTCATGTCTCCTGCCCTCAGAGCAATCCCTTCGTAGATGTCAGTCGATAATTTTCTAAACGAATTTTCCGTTTGAGGCTCCACATCAATATTGAGAAGTATTTCCTTTCTAGGTGACGGATCGCCATTGGAAATGGTATTCCACAGATTCATACCATCCAGCGGAGTTGGTGCTTGATCAAGAGTACCACCTGTAGGAATATAGAGAAAAACGGTTGAAAATATTCGATAATACGGCTTAGAACAAATAACAATAATTAAATAGTTAAATGAATAACGTTTTAGAGGTAGCGCATCCACTAAGTGGTTCTTCGTCTACGTGATCCTGGTCGAATTGGAATTTGGAAATGTCGGTTTTTGAGGAGAGGGGAAAACTGGAGTAGCCGCAGAAAAACCTCTCGGAACAAAAGAGAGAGAACCAACAACAAACTGTTCCCACATATGGCATCGACGTCTGGAGTCTAAGCCGGGCCACATTGGTGAGAGGCGAGAGCTCTCACCGCTGCGCCACCCTTTCTCCCCCACAGAACAAGCAGCAACACATCATGGAAGCGCTGGTCAATCGTATGATCAATACTAGTAACTGTCTGATACTTCTTTACAGATTTATCTATTTGTTTAACTTTTTGCTAATTTTTAAGCACGTGTTTACCTGCAATATTGACCAATGTTGGAAACCAGTCTGTAACATGCATGAGGCCTTCACATTTCTCTCCTCTTCTACCAAGCATGTTTCCATGGACAAAACTTACCCCTCTAACCCCTCCCTCCCATAAAGTTGTCTTCTCCCCTCGAAGCGGCCAGTTGAATCCACCATGATTATGCCATCCTCCATTATCAGTAGTGAAAACCATGAGGGTGTCCTCCCACAATCTAAGAAGCAATAGTAACTAACGTTAAATTACAAGGCGTAACTCAAACTGAATGACTGTAAAGATATGGAAGCTGTTATACTCCAGTGATTGGCTTATTTTATGGGGTATAAGTGATAGAGAAAGGATGAAAACACGAGCCACTTTCATATGTGTCACTCCCATGGTCAATTTATGGAGGCAGGTAACGTACTTTGAAATGAAACTGCAGACAGTGGTATGGCGTGACCATTCGTGACCTTATATCTTTTTTTCCCCTTTATTTGTAATTCTCAATTTGACTATTTCTTGGAGTGAAAGGGTCAATCCGATACGGCATATTAGATAACTTTTTCTTATCCTTTCATTTATATTGGGAGACAACCTACACGGCGGCATATATTACTCTACATGCAAAGCACTTATCATACCCAGCATCCTTCATGGCCTGTGTAATGTTGCCAACGGCTTCGTCCAAAATATCCACCATACCAGCATAAGTCCTGCGATCTTCATTATCAATAAAGCTGTACTTGTCGGAATACCGTTTTGGGACTTGGAGTGGAATGTGGACATTTTGGAATGCCATATACAAAAACAAGGGAGCGGAAGAATTATGTGACTCGATGACCTTCTTCGCTCGCTGTTAAAAGGAACATGAAAATTTGTCAAAACATTGAGCGTGCTACACTTTCACAAACAGACTAAGCAGACGCAAAACCGGTCAGTGCGTTTCTTATTCTTTAAAATAGAGAGATAAATAGATGCATTAATTGAGTTAACATCTTATCAGTATTCGATACACTCGCGTACAAGAAAGGTAGCAGAAAGAGCGAGCAGACAGGGTGGGAAGAGGGAGAGGCCCATGTCTCCCTCACCACCCTTCCTCGGGAGCTAGTGCTCACAGACTGCAAGGTCAATACAACCTCGACTTTTATGCGCACGCAAAAAGTCAGTGAAAAGCTTCAGACGTTACCTCCGCAAAAGCAAATGTACCAAATGTTCCATCCAGGTCCCTCACTGGCTCCTCGTTGTCTCGAAGGTCTAGGATGTCTAATACTTTATGAGAGTAATGGTCTTCCTGACCATTGTAAAAACCATAGAATGTATCAAAACCACGATATGTTGGTGTAATCTCCCACTTGTTGTAGCCAAGGTGCCATTTACCAACCATGTGTGTGGCATAACCTTTAACAAAATTAAGATAAATGTAAACAGTACGTAGTGGTGATAGAAATAGTCATCAATGCTTAGGTGACGGGAGTTATTGATATCGCTTAACAAAAAAAATATATGGAAATAGTGCCACACTTTCTGGCTGACTTGACATTCGGTTAATTTCACGTGGACGGAGGGATGACGTCACGCATGATCATACCGACTTTGAAGGCGTATTTAACGAAAAAGGCCAGTAACTAAAAACAATGCCAACTGGTAAGGTTTATCTGTGACCAGAAAAAAAATGGAGTAAACTTGTCCTTTAAATAGTTAATTAATTAGGCGAACATTCCGTCTCGCGGTAGAAAGATGATGTTACAAACTAAAACAGAGATTGATGCCAGCCTGACATCGTTCATTTTTATTATGAACTAGAGCCTATGATTTAATAAAATACCTGATTCTTTGAGCTTCTGAGGTAAAGTGGTAAAGTTAGTCGACAATCCATAAGGACTCGATGGAAAGAGAACTAAGTGCTGCAAGCCTTTGAAAGAAATAATGATGCATGATATAAACTGATGGTATTAAAAGGGCAAAGGCTACATTCTGTTATGGTTTCATTAAGAAAAAGAAAACGTGGAGGGGTCTTAACACTTCCACCCAAAAATGTTGCGTCTTGATGTGTGTCCTCGTTCCTTTTCAACACAAAATTTGATGGCTCATTTGCATACCCCCTCTTTATCACTGGTAGAAATATAAGTAAGGGTGTAGTTTGTCTGGCAATGCATTAGCTCTCTGCGAGTCTTAACTAGTAGCTGATGTCTGAGATCTAACGTACTTTTAGGCGGTTTAAAAAATAATTTGTCCTCTTCGTTGATAAATCTGATAAATAGATTAAAATCTAACGGTTAACTGAGATTTTCCACCCCCTCCTCCCCTAAAATTTGTTTTCTTCCCTCCCTTAATGAGCGAGGACCCTTTTCGTGACGTCGCATAGGTGATTTCTCGAATTAAGTGCAGCCAAAGCATCTGGCTTGTAGGGCTTCGTCACTGATTTTCTTCGCTTTTATAGTAGAAAGTCTACTACTACAGCAATTATGTATATCATCAATCTCGGCTAGCGTGAACTTTGTTTAGGGTTAATATCTTTAATGAAACGAAAGGCAACTCACCAGTGTGAATTGGGTACATTCCCGTTAAGAGTGCACTTCTCGTCGGCGTACAAATCGGCATAACATAGTAGTTGTCAAGAATGACTCCTTCTGAGGCAAGCTGGTCAATGTTCGGCGTTTGGATTTTTGAACCATGAAATCCAACGTCACTCCAGCCAAGATCATCAGCTACCACGAGCAGAATATGAGGAGGTTTAATAGCTCGATTTGCAACAGCCACTGATAAAGACAAGGCGACTAAAATACAAAGATGATACATTTTGCAGAGCTCCATCTTCTTCAGGCTACCCCCAGAACTCATTAAAAGTTTCGTGGTGTGACCTCACGTATTTATAATGCCACCGACGATCGATTGTGACACTCAGTCAAGTGTCTTTCCCAGCCCACGCAGTCTAGCTATTCACGCAAAGACCTGTATGCAAGTATGAGTTTCATGTGACTTTAAAACAGTTTATTGTGAACAAAATGCAATTTTGGTAACTTACACAGAGTAAACATAAATAGTGTGATTGATCACATGCCTGTTTGGAACGCTTACGTATAGAATAGCATGACTTTGTATCTAAACATAGTTTCTGACCTTTTACAGCGTGCCTGGTACGAGGAGTATTGAGGCTCTTTTTTCATGGAAAATATATATTTATAATTCCGATTGTCCTTTCACCTGGATAAATGACTAAATCAAAAACATTTTATAAAAAGAATCATGAGTACACTGGTACACTGCCCTTAGACGCGGACTTACAGCCAGTTACCTTCTCTCAATTTTTTGCTTCCAAAACTAACGTAAGCGAAACGGAGTGTCAGTACAATCTTGAATGTTGAAAAAATGAACCCGGAGCCACTTTAGGACTAGCCTGGGGGCGGTGCTGCAGGCGGGATTCCTATGTTCGGGTTACTTTCTTGGCGGCAAAGCCGCGAAGGATTTTTGCAAAGAAAGAGCTCCCAGCATAAAAATCCCCCCCAGCTACTTAGGCTACCATCGGGCTTTATTTATTTTAAAACTAATTCGTAATAAACAGACTCAAAGTCTTTAACGAGGTCTCCCGGAGATGCTATTTTGTTGGAGTGATTCAGCTCGCAAACGTTTGTCTTCTTCCTGAAGTTAAAAGAGTAGCAGTTTTTTGTGTGTAGACAACTGAAGCCGCAAGAAAAATCATCCCATGCCAGGACTGTAGAAATCACGTGACCTACCAGAGCTGTGGTGCCCTCTGAACTCGAGACGAAGACTTCTGGCTCTCTGTCAACTTAAACAAAGAAACAAAGAAGTGCTAACATGAGCTTCAAATTGCAGAAAGCCCATAAGTTTGTTTTAGAAAGGAATAATAGAAACAGACATGAAACCTAGTCAGTTCAAACAATTGTTTCGGAATAAAATACGTTCATAGAAAACTCGGACGGCGGCACAAGCTATCTCGCCATCTTTGAAAAAGCTTCAGAAAAGACGCCTCCTTATCGGAGCGTCTTATTGTTTGGGGCAAAGGAGCTTGTATTTCAAGAAAATAGGGAAACTGTTACGAGATCTTATTACAGTTCGCAGAACTCGGAATGTACTTTACTGTTACGCTTTTAGACCATGAATCCCATGAATCGGTGAACGTTTCCTTAAAATGAACGTTTGGTTGCACAATATGAAAATGATTCTATTTGTCTGTTAGAATGTTCCAGTTTTTTTTAAGTTCCAGTGTTTTGCCAGTTAAAACTGTTTTTTCACAGGTAAAACTAAACAGACGTGTATTCATTGGGGATTGATTCAGATTTAGTTATTGTTGTCACTTCAACTAGACTCCCTATAAGCCTCACAATTGTGGCCATCCCAAAGTGTCCGCCTTAGAGGGAGTTGACTGTATTCGGAAGCACTTACTGACGTGTAAGGGCGCCGGTTACTGTGTGACGACCCTCTACTAATCAGCTAACAAATTGATGAATACTGTCAACTCACTCCATAAAAAGGACACCGCCGAGGACGGCTCCACTCGTTCCTCTTATAGTAACACAACAGAAAAAACGGCTAGGGAAGGACTATCACCAGGTTTTCGATTGAAAGAGGTTTCCGTTAAGAGGGAGGATCGCATAATCGAACCTCCGTGTGCGCTGACCACCTCTTTTAGGCGATCACTCTGGCGTTAGTGACAGCATATTCAATATACCAAAATTTCCCTGTTAAATACCTTACTTGGAACCTCTCGGAAAAGACCAACCCTTTTTTCTACGCGTCCGCGTCCAGAGTTCATGACGATTTTATAACTTGCCATTGCAGTTAACTAAACGACCGTTTGACGCATTAGGTCATTCGGCAAATGGGGTTCCCTTATGTCCTACGCTAAACAGAGTATACTCAAACACCATACGAATTTTTTTGGGAAATAACATAGCACTGTGCGTTTCGTAAGTTTTATGCAGTGAATCCTCTTCGAATAAACAGATATGTCCGGGGTTGTTCTGCAAGGATACAACCGTAATTCGATTATCCAAGACCAGTAAAACTTGTACATTCAATTCGGGAGGTCTCTTACCGGAGTTTCCATTGTAACTATTATTTTATTGTCACAAAAAAAACCGTATATGTAATGGGCCTGAGCTTGTTAAACAAAGTTGACTCAGTATCCATGTCAAACGGCTTCAACAGTTCGAGAGCAAGATGATAAATGTTTAGGTAAAAGTTGACGTCTGGGAATCTCAGAAAGCCTCAACATCGCCTCCCAACGAATCTCTACATGAACTAATTGTATGCTATAAAAAAATACGAAAGCCGAAGGAGGGCTTCAGACTTTAGACTTGGTCTTCAATCTTCGGACTTCAGACTACATACTTCATACTTCAGACTTTAAGTCGAAGACTTAGGTCCTTTGGAATTTGACTTCCGTAATCTCGCTTCTAACTTCTGACCTCCGACGGCTTAAAGGAGCTGTGTCACGAAATTCAGCCAAATTAGGAAATTACAAAACGCCCGTTAAATTAAGAGAAACATAAAAATAACTGCTTAAAACTTTAAAGGACGGTTAAAATAACATAACAGAAACAACAGATGTCACGGATGGGCAAAACTGAAGAAGATTGAAACGGATTGAAATTAGGGTTTTTGAAAACTGTTCAGCCTAACAGTATTTCAAAGTTGATCCCTGCTGCTTGCAACTTCAAAAAATATGTTGAGGAGACATATTTGTTTGTCTCGGATCTCTGATTTTGTCATATACCTGTAATTTCTTTGCTTTCTTTAATCTCCATAGCAATTGAGGGCGAGTAATTGGCAAATTAAACAAAATGAACTGGACTGCCGTGACACAGCCCCTTTAAGAATTGACACTTAAGACTTCAGACATCAGACTTTATAAGTCTTCGGAATGTCAGACTTTGGATTTCATACTTCATAGTTCAAACTTCATACTTTAGACTTCAGAATTCAGACTTCCGCGGCCTTAACACTCCAGACTTCGCACTTCTGACTTAAGACATCAGATATCAGACTTCATACTTCAGAGTGACTTCAGACTTCAGACCTCACACTTCAAACTTCAGACTACCGACTTCATTCTTCAGACTTAGACTTCTTCATACTTCAGACTTTAAACTTCGGAACTCAGACTTTAAGGTATTTGTTTTCTTCCTTTACAACAAGACATTAAGAACAGTAATCTGAGATCTGATATCCGAAGTCCGTGGAGTGAAGGTCAGTTGTCCGATGTGCGTTGTTCGATGTCCAATGTTCGATGTCCGATGTCCGATGTCCGATGTCCGATGTCCGATGATCGATGTCCCATGCCTGATGTCTGATGTCCGATGTTCGATGTCCGATGTCCCATGTCCGATGTCAGGTGCCCGATGTCTGATGTCCGATTTCCGAAGTCCAATGTCCGAAGCCTATTGAGTCGGTCCGTTGTCTGATGTACGCTGTTCGATTTCTAATGTCCGTTTTCCTTTTGCCAATGCCCGATTTCTGATGTCTGATGTCCGATGTCCGATGTTCGATGTCTAATGTCTGATGTCTGATGTCTGATGTCTGATGTCCGATGTCTGGTGTCCGATGTTTGATGTCCGATTTCCCGCGTCCGATGTCCGATGTCTGATCTACGATGACCAATGTCTCATGTCCGAAGTACGTTGAGTTTAGGTCCATTGTTCGTTGTTCGATGTCTGATGTCCGATGTCTGGTATCTGATGTCCGTTGCGTGTAGGTCCGATGTCTGTTGTGCGTTGTTCGATGTCCAATGTACGATTTCTGATGTCCAATGTCCTTTGTCCGATGTCTGATGTCCGAAATCCGTTGTTGAGTGAAGGTTTGTTGTCCGATTTGAGTTGTTCGATGTCTGATGTCTGATGTCCGAAGTCCGTTGAGTGAAGGTCCGTTGAGTGAAGGTCCGATGTCCGAGATACGATGTCTAATTTCCAATGACTGATGTCTGATGTCTGATGTCTGATGTCCGAAGTCCGTTGAGTGAAGGTCCGTTGTGCGATGGGCATTGTTTGATGCTCAATATTCGTTGTCGGATGTCGGATGTCTTTTGTCTGACATCCGATGGTCGTTGTCTTATGTCTAACGTCCGGAGTGCAAAGTCTGATGTCCGATGTCTGTTGTCTGATGTCCGATGTCTAATGTCCGATGTCCAATGTCCAATGCGCGATGTGCGAAATCCGATCTCTGATGTGCGATGTCCGATATGCGATATCCAATGTCCGTTTGCTGAGTGTCTGATCTGATGTCCGATGTACGATGTCCGATTAGGTGTGATGTTCCTCCTGCTGTTTTTCTTTTTTATTAAGAAAAAAAAAAACAGCACTTATGAAGTATATGAAGTTATTAACGACGAGAAACGCGTAAGATAGGGCATCTATTTTAAGGGTCCACCATAAAAATTATCAGCACTTGTGTCAGACAGAATTAAGCATGCTGGTAAGAAAAAATCGGGAAAAGTCCGAACATTTACCCTTATCATGTTCGTTTACCTGTACATATCAATGACACAAGGTCACTGAAACTGGCAACGTCACTTGGGTTTGACGTCACTACAGCGTGGCTCACGGAAGAGGCAACTTTTTGCAGTTGGTTTATGTTCACATTGTCAGCAGGAATGACACCCTGGGGTGAACGCAATCCTAAGCTAATGATGCTAATTCCATCATCTTTCAGGGCCTGAGAAGAGGTTGTAGCCATCTCGGGATCTAGAGAATATGAAATAGAAAGTACAGTCAACCTGTAATATGGACGCCTAAGGAAAAAAGCAACGTATCCTCATTCAAGAGGTGTCTATAAGGGTATTAACAGTAGATGGTTTGATATTTTCGGAATTGAGCGAACTATCTGTAATAGAGAGGTGTATGTATTGTAGAAGCGCTCGTAATAACTGCTCAGGTTCACTGTAGCAGTAACCTTATAATGATGTTGAGTTGACGTCATCCCACTACAGCAACCTTTATTCATTTTTTCTTTTGCTTCTAATTCCTACTAAAGTTTCTATAAAGGCTACGATCAAAAGACAAAAAAGGGCAATTAGAAAAGTGATGGAGGCTGGGAGTTTAGAGGATTCAAGAGTCTTTCTTCTTTTCTATACACCTGAGATTAAGTATTTTTCTAACTTTTTGTTTGGCTGCCGATTTTTTGGATGATTCCAGGGTGTAGTTTTTGGTCGATAATTTACTATGGGATTTTTTTTGCGTTTTCCCCACTTCATGTCTATTCATAACTCATTCGCTTACACTGATACAGGCCACTGGAAACAAAAATTATCACACGGCACATGCGCTGTTTCCTCTCCCGGTTAAGCAGTCGATGAGCCTCATTGAAGGCAAGAATTGTATTGGCGTCGAATGGCACTACACTTGATATGTGATTTAAAGATTGTTTTAGAGCAGTGATATCCTGTTCGTCACTGAAGGCGTGGTTGCTAGATACTGAGTTCGCGAATGTTATAATTGCCACGTTGGTTCCTAGAAGTAAATGCGAATATTAGGCATTAGTTAATGGTCTCGTAGAACTTTACTAGAACGCAACATGCGCTTGTATTGCATTCTTTTGGCAAAGCCTGGCTTAAATATAGAATAGCGAGCAAGCTTCGCTCGTACCCCTCGACACGCGTGTAACAAAAATGGGCGCCTTTTGTTAGGAAACTCTAAAGCGTCCAGATGCACTCTCGGGTCTTAAAAGACCCCTTGAAAACAATAAAAAGATCGTTTTCTGAAAGACTTCGAATGGTCAAGGGTGAGAGATCCATAAATGATAAAGGCATCACAACTTGTATCTGATAAGACGGGACAATATTTAAAAACTGTTTTGTTAACTGGGGCAAAGTTCATTGGACGGACGGACGGATAATCTTTATTTATTCACGGTACAAAATTCGTCAGCTTTAAAAATGCCTAATACTAATATAATAAAAATATTTAAATAAAAAAGCTGCTTTCCACGAATGCCGTGCCTTACAGTTCTTTGAGTAATCGTTTAAATTGCCCAAGGGACTCTGCTTCCCTTAAGTTACAAGGAAGACTGTTCCAGAGAATGGCGCCACTATAGCTGAAGCTGTTTTTGTAATAGTTTGTGCGCGGTAATGGAATATTGAGTTTATTTTCAGAGTCCCTTAGGTTATATGCGACTTCTCGCCTTTCAAATTTAGAACTAAAATAGTTTGGAGCCAACCCGTGCAGAGACCTGTAAACCATCGTAGCTCTTTGACATTTGAATTGGCTTCGATGACTGGGACGACCAGAACAACCGAGACAACCGGTACAACTGGGATGACCATGATAACTTACAGCTGTAAATGACCGGCACGACTGGGACGACCGGGACGACCGGGACAACCGGGACCACTGGCCTAACCTAGATGATTGGGATGACCAGGACAACAGGGACAATCGGCACCACTGGGATGACAGGGACCACTGGGACAACCAGGGCGACCGGGGTGACCTGGACGACCAGAACCTGGAGGAATAGTGGAACAGAGATGACAGAAGAGTGGAACAATGATGCTGGAACAGTGGAAATGAGATGGTGGAACAGTGCAACAATGATACTGGAACAGTGGAACAAAGATGGTGGAACAGTGGAACAATGACGGTGGAACAGTGGAACAATGACGGTGGAACAGTGGAACGTACAGTGATGGTGGAAAAGTGGAACAATAATGGTGGAACCGTGGAACAGTAATGGTAGAAAAATGGAACAATGATGGTGGAACAGTCGAACAGTGATGGTGGAACAGTTAAACAGAGTGGTGGGACAGTGGAACAATGATGGTGGAACAGTAAAACAGTGGAGGTGAAACAATGGAACAGTGAAGGTGGATCAATGGAACAGTAACGGTGGAACAATGAAACAAAGATGGTAAAAAGGTAAAACAATGAGAGTGGAACAGTAAAACAGTGATAGTGCAACGGTGGAGCAGTGATGGTGGAACAGTGAAAAAGAGATGGTGTAAGAAAGCAACAATGATGGTGGAACAGTGCAACAGAGATGGAGGAACAGACGAACAATGATGGTGGAACAGTGAAACAAAGATGAAGGAAGAGTGGAACAATAATGGTGGAACAATGGAACCGAGGTGGTTGAACAGTGGAACAGTGATGGTGGAACAGTGGAACGGAGATGGTATAAGAGTGGAACAATTACGGGGGAACAGTGGAACAGTGATGGAGGAACAGTGGAACACAGATGGTGGAACAAAGGAACAGAAATGACGGAAGAGTAAAACAATGATGGAATAGTGGAACAGTGTAAAAAAGGTGGTGGCACAATCATACCGGAACAGTGAAAGAGAGATGGTGGAACATTGGAACAGTGATGGGGAAAAAATGAAACAATAATGGAACAATGATGGTAGAACAGTGGAACAGTCATGGTAAAAAAGTAGAACAATGATAGTGGAAGAGTAGAATAGTGATGGAGGAGCAGTAGAACAGTGATGGAGGAACCGTGGAACAGAGATCGTGGAAGAGTGGAACAATAATAGTGGAAGAATGGAACAGTGATGGTGGAACAGTGGAACAGAGATGGTGGAACAATGATACTGAGAAATGGGGAACGGAGATGGTGGAACATTGGAACAGTGATGGTAGAACAATGAAAGAATAATGGTGGAAAAGTATAGCAATAATGGTGGATTAATGAAACAATGGTGGTAGAACAGTGGAACAATGATGGTGGAACATTGGAAGAATGATAGTGGAACAGTGGAACAGTGATGGTGGAATAGTGGAACAGTGATGAAGGAACAGTTTAACAAAGATGACAGAAAAGTGGAACAATGATGGTAGGACAGTGGAATTAAGGAACAGAGATGGTGAAACAGTGGAACAATGATAGTGGAACAGTAGAACAGTGACGGAGAAACAGTGGAACTGAGATGACGAAAGAGTGGAAAAATGATGGTGGAAAAGTGGAACAGAGATGGTGTAACAGTGGAAAAGTGATGGTGGAACAGTGGAACAGATATGTTGGAAGAGTGCAACAATGATGGTGGAACAGTGGAACAGTGGAACAGAGATGGAGGAAGAGTGGAACAATGATGGTGGAACAGTAAAATAGTGATGGTGGAACAGTGAAACAATAACGATGGAACAGTAGAAGAGTGATGAGAAACAGTGGAACAGAGAAGGTGTAACAGTGCAACAATGATGGTGGAACAGTGGAACAGAGATGGTGAAACAGTGGAATAATAATGGTGGAACAGTAGAAATGTGATGGCAAAACAGTGAAACAATAATGGCGGAAGAGTAGAACAGTGATGGTGGAACAGTGGAACAATGATGGTGGAACAGTGGAACAGTGATGGTGAATCAGTGGAAGAGAGATGGTGAAACGGTGGAACAATGATGGTGGAACAGTGGAACAGTGATGGTGGAACAGTGGAACAGAGATGGTGGAACAGTGGGACAGTCATGGTAGAACCGTAAAGGAGAGATGGTGGAACAGTGGAACAGTGATGGTGAAACAGTGGGACAGAGATGATAGAATAGTGGAACAACGATGATGTAACAGTGGAACAGTGATAGTGGAACAGTGGAACAGATATGCTGGAACAGTGCAACAAGGATGGTGGAACAGTGGAACAGAGATGAAGGAAGAGTGGAACAATAATGGTGGAACAATAAAACCGAGGTGGTTGAACGGTGAAACAATGATAGTCGAACAGTGGAACAGTGATGGTGGAACAGTGGCACAAAGATGGTAGAAGAGTGGAACAATTATGGTGCAACTGTGGAACAGTCATGGAGGAACAGTAAAACAGAGATGACGGAAGAGTGAAACAATGATGGTGGAAGAATGGAATAAGGATGGTGGAACAGTAGGACAGTGATAATTGAACAGTAGAGGAGAGATGTTGGAACAGTGGAACAATGATGGTGGAACAGTTGAACAGTGATGGTGGAACAGTGGAACAGAGATGGTGGAAGAGTGGAATAATGGTGGTGGAAGAGTGGAACAGTGATAGTGGCACAGTGGAACAGAGATGGTGACAGAGTGGAACAATAATGGTGGAACAGTAGAACAGTGATGGTAGCTCAGTGGAACAATGATGGTGGAACAGTGGAAAAGAGATGATGGAACAGTGGAACAATGATGGTGAAATAGTGGAACAGTGGTGGTGGAACAGTGGAACGGTGATGGTGGAACAGTGGAACAGTGATAGTGGAACAGTGGAAGACAGATGGTGGAACGGTGGGACAGTGATGGTAGAACCGTGAAGGAGAGATGGTGGAACAGTGGAACAGTGATGGTGAAACAGCGGAACAGAGATGATAGAATAGTGGGACAACGATAATGTAACAGTGGAACAGTGATAGTGGAACAGTGGAACAGATATGCTGGAACAGTGCAACAAGGATGGTGGAACAGTGGAAAAGAGATGAAGGAAGAGTGGAACAATAATGGTGGAACAATAAAACCGAGGTGGTGAAACGGTGGAACAATAATGGTGGAACAGTGCAACAGTGATGGTGGAACAGTGGAACAGAGATGGTGGAAGAGTGGGACAGTGATGGTAGAACCGTGAAGGAGAGATAGTGGAACAGTGGAACAGTGATGGTGAAACAGCGGAACAGAGATGATAGAATAGTGGAACAACGATGACGTAACAGTGGAACAGTGATAGTGGAACAGTGGAACAGTGGAACAGCGGAACAGATATGCTGGAACAGTGCAACAAGGATGGTGGAACAGTGGAACAGAGATGAAGGAAGAGTGGAACAATAATGGTGGAACGATAAAACCGAGGTGGTTGAACAGTGGAACAATGATAGTCGAACAGTGGAACAGTGATGGTGGAACAGTGGCACAGAGATGGTAGAAGAGTGGAACAATTATGGTGGAACTGTGGAACAGTCATGGAGGAACAGTAAAACAGAGATGACGGAAGAGTGAAACAATGATGGTGGAAGAATGGAATAGAGATGGTGGAACAGTGGGACAGTGATAATTGAACAGTAGAGGAGAGATGTTGGAACAGTGGAACAATGATGGTGGAACAGTTGAACAGTGATGGTGGAACAGTGGAACAGAGATGGTGGAAGAGTGGAACAATGATGGTGGAAGAGTGGAACAGTGATAGTGGCACAGTGGAACAGAGATGGTGACAGAGTGGAACAATGATGGTTGAACAGTAGAATAGTGATGGTGCAACAGTGAAACAATAATGGTGGAACAGTAGAACAGTGATGGTAGATCAGTGGAACAATGATGGTGGAACAGTGGAACAGAGATGGTGGAACAGTGGAACAATGATGGTGAAACAGTGCAACAGAGATGGTGGAACAGTGGAGCGGTGATGGTGGAGCAGTGGAACAGTGAAAGTGGAACACTGGAACAGAGATGGTGGAAGAGTGGAACAATGATGGTGGACAGTAGAATAGTGATGGTGGAACAGTGAAACAATAATTGTTGATCAGTAGAACAGTGATGGTGGAACAGTCGAACAGAGATGGTGGAACTGTAGAACAATGATGGTGGAACAGTGGAACAGTGATGGTGGAACAGTGGAACAGAGTCGGTGAAATAGTGGAACAATGATGTTGGAACTGTGGAACAGTGATGGTGGAACAGTGGAACAGATATGTTGAAAGAGTGAAACAATAATGGTGTAACAGTAGAACGGTGATGATGGAACAGTGGAACAATGATCATGGAACAGTGGAACAGAGATGGTGGAACAGTAGAACAATGATGGTGGAACAATGGAACAGAGATGGTGGAACAGTGAAACGGTGATGGGGGAACAGTGGAACAGTGATGGTGGAACAGTGGAACAATGATGGTGGAACAGTTCAACAGTTATGGTGGCACAGTGGAACAGAGATGGTGGAACAGTGGGACATTGATGGCGGAACCATGGAAAATAGATGTTGGAATAGTTGAACAGTGATGGTGGAAAAGTGGAAAGGTGATGGTGGAACAATGGAACAGTGATGGTGCAACATTGGAACAGAGATAGTGGAACAGTGATGGTGGAACAGTAGAATAGTGATGGTGAAACAGTGAAACAATAATGGTGGAATAGTAGAACAGAGATGGTGGAACAATGATACAGGAAGAGTGGAACAAGGATAGTGCAACATTTTATCAGTGATGGTGGAACAGTGGGATAGAGTTGGTGGAACAGTGCAATAATGATAGTGAGACAGTGGAACAGTGATTGAGGAACAGTGGAACAGAGATGGTGGAACATTGGACCAGTGATGGTGGAACAATGGAACAATGATGGTGGAAGAATGGAACATTGATTGTTGTACGGTGGTGCAGCGATGGTCGAACAGTGGAATCGAAATGACGGAAGGTTGGAACAACGATGGTGGAACAGTGGACAGTGGAACAGGGATGGTGGAATAGTGGAACAATTGAACAGAGGTGGTTGAAGAATGATACTGGAACAGTGGAAGAGAGATGGTGCAACAGTGGGACAGTGATGGTGGAACAGTGGAACAATGATGGTGGAACAGTGGAACAGTGATTGTGGAACAGTGGAAGATTGATGGTGGAATAGTGGAACAGTTATAGTGGAACAGTGAGACGGAGATGGTGGAAGAGTGGAATAATGATGGTGGAACAGTAGAATAGTGATGGAGGAACAGTGAAACAATAATGGTGGAAGTGTGGAACAGAGATGGGGGAGCAGTAGAACACTGATGGTGGAACAGTGGAAGAGAGATGGTGGAACAGTGGAATAGTGGAACAGAGATGGTTAAGCAGTGCAACGGTGATGGTGGAATAGTCGAGCAGTGGAATAGTGATGGTGGAACAGAGATGGTGGAACAGTGGAACAGTGACAGTGGAACAGTGGAACAGTGGACAGTGATGGTGGAACAGTGGAACATTGGAACAGAGATTGTGGAACAATGATACAGGAAGAGTGGAACAAAGATAGTGGAACATTGGATCAGTGATGATGGAACCGTGGAACAATGGTGGCAGAAAAGTGGAACATTGATGGCCGGACAGCGGAACAGTGATGGTGAAGCTGTGAAAGAGAGATACCGAAAGAGTGGAACAATGATATTGGAACAGTGGAACAGTGATGATGGAACAGTGGAACCGAGATGGTGGAACAGTGGAATAATGATAGTGGGACAGTGGAACAGCGATGACGGAAGAATGGAACAGAGATGGTGGAACAGTGGAATAGAGATGGTTGAAGAATGAGACTGAAACAGTGGAACAGAGATGGTGGAACATTGGACCAGTCATGATGGAACAATGGAAAAATGATAGTGGACGAATGGAACATTGATTGTCGTACTGTGGAGCGGCGATGGTGGAACAGTTAAAAAGAAATGACGGAAGGCTGGAACAGTGATGGTGGAACAGTGGAACATTAGAACAGAGATGGTGGAAGAATGATACTGGAACAGTGGAAGAGAGATGGTGAAACAATGTACCAGCGATGGTGGAACAATGGAAAAATGATGGTGGAACAGTTGAACAGAGATAGTTGAACAGTGGAACAATGATAGTGGAACAGTGGAACAATGATGTTGGAACAGTGGAACAGCGATGGAGGAACAGTGGAACAGAGATGGTGGAACAGTGTAACAGAGATGACGGAAGAGTGGAACAATGGGAACAATGATGTTTGAGCGGTGGAACAGTGAAACAGTGGGACATTGATGGTCGAACAGTGGAGCAATGATGGTTGAACAGTGATGGTGGAACAGTGGAATAAATGATGGTGGAACAGTGGAACAGTGATGTTGGATCAGTGGATCAGGGATTGTGGAACAGCTGAACAATGATAGTGGAACTGTGGAACAGTGGAACAGAGATCGGGGAACATTGGAACAGAGGTGAGGGAAGAGTGGAGCAATGATGGTGGAACGGTGGAACAGGGAACAGTGGAACAATGATGGTGGAACAGTGGAACAGAGACTTTTGCAAGTGGTATTTATGCCAAATATCACGTACAACTCATGCTATTGTTTGTTTGTTCTGCAAAAGGTTGCAATTTTTACATGTAGGCATTTCAAATTTAGCTGAAATTCCACTGCTCTAAGCCAATCAAATTGCTCAAATGTTTCATGTAGTAGTATAAACAATCATTATAAAAGGATTTTGCGATGGTAGTTGTTCATTATAAACATAATTAGTTATTACGCCAAGACGTCAGGATGGCCGAGGGGTCTAGGGCGCTGCGTTCAGGTCGCAGTCTACTCTTGTAGGCGTGGGTTCCAATTCCACTCCTGACAATACGTTAACCTTTTTCTCTCCCAAAATTATGTTTGTTCCATCAAAATCGATTACCCCTTTTGGTCTTGAACTCGATACATTTTGGTTGCATTCGGCGGCCCAAACAGAGTTCATCGCTTGGTTGCCTAGGTGCAGAATACTCACTGTTTTTTTTTTCCTATGGACATTCCGTACCCCGCGAGAAGAAGCAAAGGAGATAGAAGCCAAATTAATTTGGGATCGTCTGACCGACGCCAAAGATTCAATTTAAGTTTCAGGTAAGGGGCCCTTATTAAACGTTGATATCTCAGAACAGTCATCGTCTTCTAACAAACCTGAGGCCGGTGGTGCACATAAGTATACCCTTTTAAAATACCCCTATACTCCCCACCCCTTTTATTTCCATCGGTGCTCCGTTTACCGGGACTCCAATATGCCTCCGCCATCTTGGAAAACGAGAGTGTCCGGCGGAAATTAACCTGGGAATTGAACTCAAGGCCTCTCGCATAGACGGCCCGGCATTAACAAACTTTATCAATTCCTATTTATCTATTACGCCTGACAGGATGGCCCTGGCGGTCTATGGCCCTGCATTCAGCTTGCAGTCTACTCATGTCCCCGTGGGTCCGAATCCTGCTTCTGAAACTTTTCCGTTTTCCTTACTGTTTTAGGAATTGGTTGTCACCTGAGGCAGGCCAGTGTTAACCAAATATAGTGCAGTTCATCTTGATCCAGGTAGACAATTCAAAGCCGGTCTATTTTCTTAGCATAAAGCAATAGGTAATTTCCCAGTTCCATAAACTCTCACATTCAAAACCAGGCTAAGTGTAAAACCTCTGTCATGAAATGAGTTTTTTCCTAATGCGAATAAAAATCATTTTCATATCAATGGCTTTTGGCTTAGTGTAGCTTTGAAACAGAAGCGTGTGGTAACTCGAAAATTGCCTATTGTTATCCTTGGACTTTTTGTCAGATTCTCTAAAACATTTCACTTTACGTAACTTGCATATGTATTTCCTCCGAGCTGATTGCCCCCAATTGATTTATTGTGAATGTATTGTTACTTGGTAATGTGACCGCTGTGTCTTGGTCATTGGCAACGGAGTACAAATCTACAAAATTTTTCAGAATTTATACGCAAACGTAACTATCTGAACAAGCGAATGGCTTCTTTACCTTCGGTGGACGGCTGGAGGTGTGGAAGAAAGCTTGTGATAAACCTTCTGCTATTATCCAACTGATTATTTGACATAGTTTTTGAAGTATCGATCATAAAAACAACATCCACGATAATGGGGCATTCTGAGAAGAAAGATCAAGCAATATATTTTTTGTTTCAAAGCAGTGATACCACAATTCGATAATCCCCCTCCCCGAGATCTCTATAATTCTCCATATCATACGACAGGCGAAGACAATATGTTATAGACATCTTTCACTTACTTTTGCCTTTAATTCAGTCAGGAATACGGTCATGTTTGTCTTTGCAACCACCGAGTAATTCGTGCTTTCTAGCACTGCTCTGTCAAAATCGCTGCTGTTTGTTGGATGACGTTATTTGTCCAATATTTCTCCCATCATTGGGCAAAAGATGTTAATAATCCGATAATAAAAAAATCAGACGGACGAAGTGAATCTTACAAATTAGCCATCAGCATTACTGAAGCCGTTAAACCAAAAATTGACCCGCCGGCTTTAAGCCAGTCAAAAAGGGAGAAATGCTTTGAAATATGAATTGTAATAATATTTCGTTTTCTAAAATTTACAAGTAATTTTTTCCCAGAGAGCTGATAGTTCAACTAAGAAAAAGCCAGCTGATCAATTCGCCACTTTAGAGACGAGAAGGACACTGAAGCCGAAATGAGTCCTGCAATTTTTTTGTCTGGGATCGTTACTGGAGACGCCCCGGTCAGCTGTTGGCTAAATTTTTCCCTGTCTCTAGTAACAATCCCAGAAGTCTTTGCCAAAGTTTTCTCAGCCCCGTTTTCCTCTCCTTTCTCAAGTGGCGACGTCAGGCCTCGACATCAAGGGCTGATTAAATGCTCACCTGGTATGTGTGATGTATCAGTTGGAAAAAGGACCTAAATAGCGGTAAAGCCAATAACCTAATTAGTCAATCGTTTTGTTATCAAGAAGGAAAAAAGAAAAACTGTCACAAACCCTTAAAAGTCTTACTACTATAATGTATTTACTCTACCCGGGTTTAACCTCTCTTGAAAATGAGGAGTGTCCAACTGGTTGCCTCCGGTCAGTTAGTTGGGGTGTTAAATCCTGTTATGTTCTTTTTGGATTATTTGTTTCTAATTATTTGACTGGAGTGCCTGTGAACTACGTGGATAAGCTAAGTGTACTTTCCACATTCATTTGTCCGAGGCGTTAGATGACAAAACCAATTACCGAACTTGCTGTTAGGCGTATGGCAATCTGCAGTAAAATGTTTGATTAAACATCCGACACAGAAAATTCGTTGTTTGCGATTTAGAAGGGACAAAAAGTCTTTTGGAACTCAGTTAAGAAAGAAAAGCGAAAGGACGACTTTATACAAAACAATGGAGCAAAGAACACAACAAAGATGCGTCTGTTAATTTACGACACCATTGCTATATCTGGAATTATATCATTCAATTTCATTCAGTTTGGTACAAATAACACTTCAACGAGTACAAATATCTCACGGTATTTGTGCGTATAGCAGGGAATATATCGTTTCCAAAGAAAATAAAGATTAGGGACCAAATTATAAGCTTAAATAAAACTCAGTTTCTTGTTTTTAGTCCGTCCAGTCCTTCCCACCGTTTTTCCGTCGATCCATCCGTCCCTTAAGTCCATCCGACGGCCGTCCGACGTCCGTCAAGTTCGTCAAGTCCGTCCAATCTATCCGACCACAACGACTTCCTTGCACTAAATGAGGACTTACTTATGCGACGACATGTCGGATTGATTTATGCGACAAATGTACAACGGACATCGAGAAGAAATGTTATGTTTTATTGTCGCGTGAATCTCTGTAAAATTCCTGAAATCCAACTATCTGTTATTAGAAAAGATGTTACCTATACTATCAGTGTGGTATCTATTGTTACTAGATACAAGATTTTCGTACTTCATAATTTTTTTATATTTTTACGCGTATTAAAGACCCCATTTTACGCGTGTATTTACTTTTTTCTTCTATAGAGCGAGAGGGTCACGCTTGTCACACAAATTTTGCCGTCTTCGTTCCTACGATGTCCTAAGTTTTCTAATGAAAGTGTAACTTGTAATTCCGTTTGCGAATCCACTGTGGCTGTTAAAATAAGGCTTGAAAGATCATCATTTGCTTTCCATTAAAGATCTAGAGTCGGATAAAAAAAAAACAGTGGGTCCAAATTTTAAAGCAAAGCTGTGATCAAATTTTCCAAGTTCGTTGCAATATTTTCTGTGGTTATGTATGGCTCTGATAATCATACCAAACTGTAGTTTGTTAAATGCCAGGTCGCTTTTCAGCGACTTTCAGGTAAAACAAAATACATAACTTAGTTTTTAATACAAACCTGTAGAAGACAGAACGAGATCCAGGAAAGTGATAGCTTCTGCATTGTTCTGTACTGAGATAGAAATACTTATCATTAAACCGTATAGATCAGGAGATCATTCAAAACCGAATCTTTCGGTTTTGTTTTCAAAATTTATTTAGCTGCTGAAATGCGTGAAATTAAGAAAAATCAATTAAGCTTTGTTT